TGATATAACAATGATCTCGTGCACTCATATCCCTAAGTAATTGGTCCTAATCATATCTCTTCTCTATCTCAAATCATTCAAACTAATTCCAAAAATAACATACACAAACCCAAGTCTATTTTTGATCTCTATAGTACCATCAAGTCTCCTCCTAGCACTAAATCCACAACCATTCTACAAGCAAGTACAATCACCTAAATGGTGCCAAGCCATGAGTGTCGAATATGATTTCTTTTTTTTTTTTTTTGCAATACCACTCGGTCCTTAGTCCCCCCTTCATCCTTCTTAAAACATTATGGATTACAAGTGGATATTTTACATCAAATGCAACCTAGACAACACAATCGCCGGATACAAAGCCTATTTTATGGTTAAAAGATTCCATCAAATACCCAAAATTGATTTTAGAGAGACATTCAATTCTTTAGTAAAATCATTTATTATTTATCTCTTCTTAACTCTTACAACCACTAATGACTAACCTTTATGCCAACTAGATGTGCATAATGTTTTTTTGTAAAGGTATCCCACAAACGATGTCCATATAGAGCAACAACCAAGATTCCTTAATACTCAATTTCCATAACATATATGTAAACTAAGAAAAGCCATTTATGGGTTTCATCAAGCTCCACGAGTATGGTATCATAAACTCGTACATTTCTCCTTCACACTAGGTTCACAACCTCTATTTATGATACTTTACTATTCATTCAACATACTTTTGGCCATACCTTGTATTTGCTAGTCTATGTCGATGGCATTATCCTCATTGGATCTTTTGCATCATAAGTTTAGAATTTCATCACCACTCTTGCTTGACGCTTCTCCATCAAAGACCTTGGTGCCTTATCCGATTTTCTTAACATAGAAGCTTATTCAATCAGCCATGATCTCTTCCTCTCTTGATAAAAATACATATGGGACTTGCTCATTAGAATAAACATACATATTGCCAATTTAGTCTCTACACCTCTTTAATACTTTGAAATCCCGAAACCTAATGATGATAGTTCCTATATAGATGCCATTCAATATCGTTAGGTATTTGGTTTCCTTTAATATCTCTCACCAACTAGACCAAACATCTTTTTTTATAACTAATAAGCTATCTTAATTCATGTATCGACCTACTATATTTTATTTATAAGCCATCAAACGAGTTCTTTGCTACCTCAAATGTACCTTTGAACATAGTATCCTTATACATCGATAATTCCCTCTTCACCTTTATCTCCGATCGGACTGGTGACCTAGATGATAGATGATCTACTACAACCTATATTGTCTTCCTTGGTGCAACTCCTATCATTTAATGTTTAAAGAAATAACACATTATCGCTTGATCATCCATGGAGGTTGAATATTTAGCAATCGCTACGTTAGTTACTAAACCGATCTAATAGCTTCTATAAGAGCTTTGGGTCTCTATTGCAAGTTCTCTCATCATCTACTCGCAAAAATGTCGATGCTACTTATATTTGCACCAATCCAATCTTCCACAATCATATGAAACATAGATTTTTTCTTTATTCGTGACCAAGTTACTAGCAAACAATTAAAAATCTCCTATATTTATACCAATGATTAGCTAGTTGACTTATTAACTAAGGCATTTTTATGTCGACAATTTCAAAGTCATCATTCCAAGATAGTCATCCTTGATGGATGCTCTATCTTACTTGGGGCATAAATAAAAACAAATCATAAGATCCCAATAATGCAAACATGACTCAAGAAATTTAATTTAGTCAACTTCTATAATATAGTGATGGTATGATTAAAATAATTTCATACGTGTTATTCTCTTAGTATGTATGTAATGAAACAATTAACTTATTCCAGAATATTCATTCCATTTTAGTTATTAATTTCTAATCAATCAAATTTGTGTTTTAAGGCTGCATTTAACTTGTTTGTAGCATTGCAAATATACCAAAATCACTTTAAATGCTATTATTAATTTCTATCAAAGGAACCATAATGATTAGATAACAATTACAAAATATAGCATCAAATTGATCAAGGTGGCTTTATATTATGAGTGTGTGTTATCCCAACTCTCAACTCTTAATTTAGAATTAACTTGTTCGAGTACACGTGCTTTGTTGTGGGTAGATTATCGTTGGATGTATAAAACAATTGAAGAAAGATTGGAATATTTTTTTTGGTGAATATTGTAATTTGTTGTGTACTTGTTGATTTTTTATTATGATGTGTTAAAAGAGACATGAATTGTTAGAACATATGAAAATGTTAATTTTTTTTTACAACATCTACGTTGTTCCTTTTTCTTATTTTTATTTATATATTTATTAACTCATATAGGTTTATTTTGATACGTATGAAAATATCCAATGCTTATTATTCGCATACCTAGTGTTTGTTTAAAAAATATTGTAAAAAAAAAGAAGAAGAAGAACTCGGGGTTTTTTTGTTCATTTACCGTAGCGTTTTTTTTTTTTTTTTTTTTAAGCTAGCCACGGCCTAGCCTTGGAGAAGCGGGCTCGAGGAGGCCTGGCCTAGCTCACGAGCCCGCACAAACGAGTCTCAACTAGTGTTTGCCTTCTTTTTTTCTTCTAATAATTTATTTTTATATTTTTTCATCTTGAAATTAGGTGTGAAAATATAAAAAATAACATTATTTTTTTAGTTTTATGTACAGCGTACGGTTTGATGGTAATTGGATATATATAATATTTTTAAATATTTTAATTTGAACATATATATATATATATATATATATATATGATTTATTATTTATTGTTTAAAATTTATTTCCTCAATTGTTTGTTTCTTATTAAAATTTTCATCAAATTAATTTTTTAATTTGAGTAGTTAATAAATTTGATTTTTTTATATATGGATTTTGAAATAAAATTTTAGAACATGATTGTTTTATTTTTTTTAAAAAAAATATTACTATAATTTATACTATTGATTGTTTTTATAATTTTTGAATGAGAGTAACGTAGTTACATATATAAATTACGATGAGGGAGAGAGCTAAAAGTGGGTTTTAGATAACTTGACTTAATTTTTTTAAAAAATAACAATGAGTTAAAAAATAATTTGACTCAATTTTTTTTAAATTGATAATTAGTTAAAAAAATTCACGGGTTTTATTTAGTTATATATATATATATATATAATCGAATTTGTTCAAACCAATTTTATAGTAGGTTTTTTTTAAAAAAATCTATTCATTTTGATATATTCTATGTGATTTAAGCAAGTTTTTTTATATATATTTTTATTTATTTTATATATTTTGAATCGTTAAGTACTATATATATATAGTTTTGTTAAAAATTAATTAAATTTGCACACATAACGCCAATTATTCGTTATTTATTTTTTCATGTTCTTAAATATGTATTTTTAAATAAAATAATTTAATCAATGTTTTGAAAAAACCTCTTAATTATTTAAATATAATTTTTTATACTAATCTTATACATTATTTTGTTAATAAATATATATAAATCAAACAAGTTCGCTCAATATATAGATTCGATTTACATTTAATCTCTAGAAATAAAATATCTACTCTCATCATACAATACGAATCGTTAACCTTACTTATATAATGATTATTTGACCGCAATGTAGCGCGGATATCTAACTAGTATTAAATGATTATAGATGGTCTACTAGTTTGCTTTGCGACGAGTGGATCAAGATGGTTTGGAACTTCATCATTGACATAAAAAATATGAGTTTCCGGAAGATGATGGTTTGCTACGAGTTATAGAGTGAGTTCAGACAAACTCGAAAATCATAGGTTTATTCAATTCATTTAATAATAGTTGAGAGGGATTGAATATTTGTCAAAAAAAAAATGCGAGTTAAGAACTAAATATTGGCATGGGAAACCAAAGCATTTTACATCAACATCTCAAGTAAACAACATCATAGTTTTTTGTTTTTTTAAAAAAAAATTCATCAATTGTTTTTTTATTCAATATGGGATAAATTCTTTGATACCCATTCTCACTTGTAGTCCATCTTTGAGGTCTATCAAGTGGTTTGAGCTCAAAGATCTTTACGTGAACGATTATATTTCTCTAAGGTTACTGCTATTATATTAAGTTAGATAGTTAAGATTAAATTTTATCCAAAAGATTAAGCCTTGTGGTAAATGATTATTTCTCAACTTTAGATATTACTCCTCACATACAATATATTTTTTTAGGGTACGTTAAGTAGTTTGAGTTCTAGAATCTTTATCGAGGCATTAGACCTCTTTAAGACTCTAATACCACATAGAGTTTAATAGTTGAGATTGAATTGTATACAAAATACTTAAATCTTGTAATGGGTGGCTCATTCATTATTTTTTATATTAATTTATATTTTTATATTTGTTTAAACTGAATATGTTTACTAACATTTCTCTCCATTTGCGAGTCCATTTTTTTTAGTTTGTCAAGTAGATCGAGCTCCATAATCTTTAATGAGCTCTTAGGTTTTCTTAAAACTTTAATACCATATCAAAAAATCATCTCAATCTAAAATAAATTTAACTTGTTAGGTGAAGTTTTATGAATAATTTTATATTATTATATGACATTATGTATTGTAAATATTCAACCAATACAGTTTTAAGCGTGCAAATCTAGTTCTTTTTATTTATTCTATCACAATTTTTTATCAAAATATATGTATAATTTCTCACTCTACCAATTCTATATATCTAACCAAATATATTAATTTTAGATTTGGAAATTGCAGCGAGCAATTCAATTCTTGGACAACATATAATTTATGTACATAATTAAATACCAAGACCACCCACCATGGTAGCACGTGGTAGCAGATTCATAAATAGATGAATTAATAGCACAAGATACATAGATAAGTCTATCACCTCAAGGACAGGAACAACCATAATAATTTTTTAACGAGCAATAAACCATAATAATAGTGGTAATAATTAATGAAAAAAAATCATAGGGATCCAATCCCTCTTGCAGCTCATTAGTTAAGATATTTATTTTCTAAGCGTAGGTGCAACCCTCCACAAGAACATTCTTCATGTTGTCAACGAACTCTTGCATCTGCTCCCTTGAATGCAGCGGTGATGGATACACGAAGACACAATCCAACCGTCCATCTCTGATCGTGTCAAAAATTGCAATTGAAGGTCCTATGCCATGAGCAGAGGCACACCCCATGTAATCCTCTACACCTACTTCTTTTTGCAAGCCAGCATAATCATCTATTACTGACTCTTCAAACACTGATAATAAAGCTGTTCTTAGAGAAGATGATGGTGTCAAGCTAGGATTATCAATAGCCTTACACATAAGGAAGTTGAGATCAGCCATGTCTGAAAAGTGCCTGTTGCAGTTCTTGTAGTAAGCAAATGCTGTGTACGTGTTTTTGGCCAGCTCCCACAGTTTCTCTCCTCCTTTCATTACATGTGTGTTCAAAATACAAGAGTGATAAAATCCTGGCCATTCAGGTGCAACGATTTGGTTAGCTAACAAGTGGTAAAGGCTGTAAGACTTAAGGCATGAATCCAGAATTGGTGGTGTAATTTAATGGTCTGAGGCTCTCTGTTGAATCCATGTTATGGCACCAATAAATATATCTATATATGCCATCAGGCTACGCGCTAGTCGGGTAGTATAATATTAAGGCCTGGTTCAATTCCAGAGGATATTGCTGTCGTTATCTGCCACTACTGACATGAAGATTTCTTCCTCATTCATGTTATGATTTTCGGTGGAAACTAATATTGTTATTGATAACTTTCACAACTTTTTTTGTCCTTTCTGTCTCTTTATTTCTTTTGAACTCGATTTTTTTTTCCTTCGTAAATGCATAAAATAAGTATTCTCTCTAATATTCACTCTAACCTTAAGGATATGGATGGCATCAATTGAACATTCATTATTGATGATAAGAAGAGAAATTCAAAAAACCTGACATTGTTTATGCCATTAATTAATTCTAACATGGATTTTGAGAATGGTTGTGTTCTTTCGTTTAAATCTGCACATCGAGCAGCAAACTGCTCAAAAGCTTAATTGTAGGTCTAAAAACAATAAAATAACAAAGGGTAAATAACTCAATATGTTCTTATATAATTAAGTGTGTCTTCAATATATCCTTATATTTTAAATTATGTCCATTATATCTTTTGTATAGTATTCAATTCTCTAATATTTCCTTCAAATAGGTAAAATTATATTTTTTATTTTAAAATTACCCTTGATTTATATATGAATATAATAGAAAGATTTCTCAAAATTGATCAAAACGTTGTGAAAATAAAAAGCTTCAATATTTCTAACCATTAAAATCGTAAAAAAATAGAAATTTTAATTTTTTTTTCAAAAATCAAAATCATATTCTTATGTAGCTCAATTGTAGTTTCACAGCGAAAAATGTAATTTTGTCCGTTTGAATAAAAAAGATTTGATAAAATGAAGTATTGGAGAATTAGATATTGTATAAGAATATAATAAACATAATTAGAAATATAAAAATAAATTAGGGACTTAACCAATTATATAAGAATAGATTGAGTCACTTAATGATCAATGACTAGTCATGTATAAAAAAATATATATACATATTTTGTATTGTATCTTTTTTGTTTTATTTTTCTTTATTTGAAAAAATTATTCAATTCTTTTCTTATATATATAAATTTGAAAATGATTTCTAAATAAATAAATCATTAAAAAAAAAGTTCAAACAATGTAGCTAGTGAAAACGGTGAGCTAAGTATAGGTCAAAAAATAAAAGTTGCTACTACTCTAGTTTATTTATTACCATGAAAATTATACACAAACACACGTATATAGGCACACATTCAAACAAGCATGTGACAAATGATCAGGAACCATCCATGATACATCAGAAAAGGGGCTTACCAAAATGGTGATTAGAAAGAGGTGGCTTAAGGATTGATCTGCAATCGGTCAAGGTCAAAACTGCATACTTTCTTTGTTTATCCACACGACTTCTAGAGTGGTGTGCAGCTATTAATCCAGCACTTGCCAATGCCCCGCATAGCTTAATTCCTCTTGATTTGCAACCCTACAAAAATTTAAGACATGATAACATTTTTAGTTTGTCGATCTGTCCTGAAAAATTGGAGGTCAGAATAAATGCTAGCAAGCTGAAAGTCTATATAGTTCATTTAGTGCTGCATGTCCTAGCTTGCATGTGGTCCATTCAGAAAATAAATCAAAGAATGTAATAATATTTAGGATGCATGCAATTAGGATTTTGTTCAAAAAGATTAGGCTATAAAAAATGGCATGTATTTACAAGACTTTGTACTCACAGCAATGATTTTCTCAGTGTCATTCTGGCTCATCTGCATCCTTACCACCTGAGAAGATCTTGGTGACCTTGAATCCTTGAATTTCAGATTTGTTAGACTAAGTGAATTCACCGAGTAAGTAAGGACGTCAAACCCACGTTCCCACAAGCCCTTCTTAGCCTTCTTACGAGGAATAAGATCCTCAATGCCTAAACTAAGCTCCTCTTTGTTTGCTATTTCCTTCTGCACAACACGTACACCTCTCACCTCTTCACTCACCAGCACCACCAATTCCTGTAGCAAGGACACAGCGGTGGTTCGGTCACACGCAGAGGCGTGAAGCCTAAGAACCAGTACCCACTTTGCATTAGGGAGGGCATAGCTGGTAGCAAAAAACACATCTTGAGTGTCATTAAAGGAAGATGGTGCCCTGTTATGGTTAGACCATGAGTTTTGGTTAAGTTCATGTTCAAGGATTAGTTGGAGAGGTGAGATGGATCGGTTTTTTGGGTTCCATGTGTTTTCGAGGATTTTGAAAGTGGACGACAGGTCGAATGCTTTCAGTTTAATGCAAGGAGTTGGAGATGTAATGAAGGACAATGTGTTTGTGTTGATGGCAGAATGGAGCCTTGACCTAAGGATTGGATGAGAATTTTGGAGTTTGTGGAGACAATTCTCTAGAATTGAGGTTTCAGGAAACTTGGAGGTGAGGAAGGCCAAGACGGCTATGCCGGTGCCACCAGGCACGGCTCGGCACCAGCTATGCTCAGTGCCTCCCAAAGGTCGGCCCTTGGGGTCAACCATTTCTGAACTGATCATCAACTTCAGGCTAGACATGTGATAGAACAGCAACAGAAACTGCTGGAGTTGATTTGTATACAAAATTAGGCAAGGGATGATAATATGTGGTTCCTGGCTAGGAATTTATATAGTGGTTACTCGATGGGGGTGCATTGCGGTGATATGCTAAATTAATATAATATTCTTTTGTTGTTTCTTTATTCTTTTTTTTTTAATTCTTTTTTCCTAATAATAATTGAGTAAGTTATAACTTAATTATCAGTCTCTCAATTTTTTAGAAACAAATTAATTATTTTTTTTCAAACGTAATTATTTGGTTCATTCCATACTTAAGTTAACGTTATAACAGAAAATATACGCCATCTTTTATTATTAATTCTTTCATATTTTTTACTTATTATTTTTTTATTTCTTAAAAAAAAGATCAAATAAAATAAATTAAAAAATATAAAGATTAAATAATTAATTTTAAATTAAAAAATTAATTAATTTTTCAAAATTAAAAGACTAATTTATAATTTATTTATGGTAACAAGGGTATTCTGTGTTGGAAAGTTTAGAACGATCTCAAAGAAAAATAAAATTATGTAGTATGGAATGACTTTTGACGTTGGTATTAATCATATTTAAAAATTTAATTATAAATATTGATAAACACTATCTCCAATTCAAAAACTCAAATAATTAGATTATACTTACATATAAACATCTTGTTTATATTTAATCCTGAATAATGTAGAATAATATTCTATTCACGTGATCAAACAGTATGATTCTCTAAAAAAATATATATATATTTCATGCTTGTCCGCCTGATGTTATCAGTCGTAATAAATTAGCTGGTCGACGGTTGCAGCAGCCAGCATCAGTTTGTCCTTTATTTCTATTTTATCAATTTTATTAACCAAACTCGGACGTTTTTATTTAACTGAGTACTTGAGTACTTTATAATTCCTAACCGCCATGAATTCCTCATTAAAAGCACAGCTGAAAGCTTCAATTTTCACAGCTTAAGCGTCTCTGTTTTTCTCCACCGTACGTATATGCCTGTGCTGCCGACCACATTTAAAGCTTCTGTGTAAATTTATTTATTGACTCGCACCAGCTCACTTACTCTCTCCATAATATGTTTTCAAAAAATTGAGCCAACCGGCAAATAGAGAGGTCATTTTCTGGTTGTGCATCTATGGCTGAGCACTTATGGGCTATGTCATTCAGTTAATGCAAGCTATGGAGTGGAAGTTGACATGTCCATGTCCAAGTCGTAGAACACTTGATATGCATTCTTTCACACATACGTGCGTACTTTACTACAGTTCCATATATAGTCGAGTCTTTGTTTCATGCGGTATATCAGACCAATTTCAGAAAATATGTACTGCCTCTGTCCCAAGACATTGTGTATTTTTTTGATTTGTACTTTTTAAAAAAATATTTGTTTGATTAAAATTTTAAGTGATATTCTTTTATAAAATATTTTTAATTAAATTTTATTTTGTAAAAAATGTCTAAATATAATTTACTTTTTTAAAGAGAGAGGCTATATATATATATATATATATTTGCTAATATGGTATAACAATTAATAAATTTTTATTATTATGTGTAAAAATTTTAAAAATAAATTTTTTAAAAAGCGAAGAGAATATATATCCAATAATTAATGTTCAGTAGATACAGTTTATAATATAATTTAATATGTTATCTTCGCTATTGGTTGTTGCAAGAAAGAGACTACACGTCAAGTAAATTAGCCAATGAATTGTAACTCTAATGACACTAATGTCCTTCTTCTTCTTTTTTAAGAAAAAAATCAAAGTAAATTAAATGCTCTGTTATATACTACACTAGTACTGTTATTTCTAGTAAAGGAAAGAGAATTTATTTCCTTTAGTATATTACAATATCTCATGTCTTATAAAATTGAAAAATAGTGCGGAGAAACCTCAATTTAATCCTTTTTCTTGTTAATTAGGCAAATAATCCATTATAAGATAATTCAACCCAATTAGGTTAAGACATCGTATTGGCAAGGGTTGGTATTGGCCTAGCTCGTGTCCCCATGCCCAGGACGCTTGGATCCTATTTGATTTTGCGCGTGAGAAGCCAATATTGAAAGCGAAGGCCCTTTGCTTTAAGTGGAAGATCACGTGGCCATGCTCTCTACCTACATGATCAGTATTCGTATAGTAATGGGACTTCACATGGCCCTATATATTGTGCTATGATATAGCTATTTGTGTTTATGCTGTCTAGTTTTCGGTTGAAGCTCTTAAATACTAGCCTACGCGTGGTATTTTCTTATTAGTGCACGGTGCTAGAATGTTGGCGAAAATAATCATATCGGTAGCATCCGTTTGTATTAAAAGTATGTTAGGTTGGAAATGATGAATTAAAAGAATGTTTGGTTGGAAAATGATGGTGCATTTCATCGCAAGAAAAAAAATTCTATTTTATACAGCAAAACGGAATTAATGTGTTCTTTAGAACATGCTAATTGTTCAGATCCTACTCTTCTAATCTGTGTCACCTAATATTATGAAGTTTCTTTATACTTTTTTATTTTGTGCCTCCTAGGATTGTTAAGTTTATATATATATATATTTTGGTGCTAAGTGAATTGCTAATTGTGATGATGTGGTTGGAAAATGATGGTGGATTTCACATTCAATACACCAATGCTTGTCATGATATTCTTAGTGTGATATTCATATTAGAAACTAATAGGATTTGATGTTAATTCGTGACTCCTAATTTCAGAGCTCGACAATAATTTAATACTTAATTATTTTATTTTATTTTATTTTATATTTCATTGGCATGACAATTTGGTTGGGACTATAATTGAATCTAATATTAAATTAACATGACTTGATTTTAAGGGTCAAAGAAAATTTATTACGGTTTTATAAAAAATAATAAATTATTTGATGTCTAAAATGGTGTTGTAGAAAAATATGAAGAATTATTTGATGTCTAAAATGGTGTTGTAGAAAAATATGAAGAATTAATTCTTTCATATTAATGGTAAATGTGTCCACCTAACTTAGCAATAATCTTGGAGATAAGCCTTAAAAAATAGTTTGGAAAATTTAATTTTTTTTTTTTAGGAAATGATTTAGCAATAGAAACAGTTTTGGTAAAAAAAATTTAAGTGATGGTTTTGGATGATTTTTATATTTTCATAAATATAATCAAATTCTTTCACGTAATATCTATAAGACTAAGTCATTTAAATTTTCTAGTTTCTTTCAACATCAGATAACGATTCTATATTTATAAGCTTTTTTAATTTGGAAGTCCCATATATTGGTGGTGACATCCATTATGTTACATTTTACATTTGATTGCATTGCATTATATCAGGATGGATGCAGTGTAGTGCACAACAATCTCCTTCTTCTCCCTCACACACTCCCTGCACCATCGAAACTAGCCAAAAAGCAAACTATTATTAATTATCCCGTTATTGCTAGTAAAAAGAATAACTACAAACTTGTTGCCCCAACTGACAGAAAAACACTAGACACCATTAAAAAAAAAAAAAAAAAAAACCCTTGCATCTTTCATTTTAGCTTTAAGCAAGGACGAAGACAAGTTGGATGGTTATTGGTTAGGATGGATTCCACAACATCAAAGGTCATTGTTGAAGGCTAAGGAGGAAGTTTAAAATCCTTCTTCAAGTTTTATAAAAGGGGCAGAGAAAGGAGCATAAGAATAAATGAGAAAAAGGGGATATAAAAAGATAGAAAAAAGAAGAAAAAAACATAAAGAGGTAGGATTAGAAAGGGTTTTGTTCAATCTGTATAGAAAGAAAAGATTAGACAAAACATTTAGGTATTTGGATTGTATGATTTGAGAATCAAAGGAGCTGGAACTATCTCCATTAACAACCTTACTCTTTGCTGCCAATGCTTGTGTTTCTCCTCAACAAGTTTTTTTACTCCATTATTATGTCAAATGCATCGTTTAGTTCACTTAATCTTGTATGATTAGTTCCTTTAAGATTATTATTTGATAATTTTATCTTAGTTTGTTTTACATGCTTGTTGTTTTGTGATTGTTTCTTTTCTTTCAATTATATCAAAACATAGTAGTTTGCATATTCCTTCTATCCACCAAGATGTGTTAGCTTGTTGTTATTATTTTTTAAGTGTATAAAAAAAGCTTGCAATGAAAAGAAAAGAGCAATATACAAAGAAAAGGCTGAAAAAAATACACGGACTAATGTGGGAGAAGATGAGCATAGTGTTGTTTCTAATATTTCCCTTTTTTCAACAATTTAGTCCGTGTTTGGTTTCAATATTTATACGGCAATCACTATTTTGTTGTTGAGATAATTTAGTCCATATATTCCTTTTACTAATTGATACTTGATTTAGTTATTTTATTAAATATGATTGTGTTTGTTTTTCAAGACTTTGATAAACAAGTCAATTGCAAGGGTTGAAAAGTTTGATTAATCGATGTTGTGTTAGGGATAGGGGCTAAATTTATATATATATATATTTATAACAAGGACCATTCTATTCATTTGGGATTTGAGCAAGCTTTTGGTGTGATTTTTTTGTAATTTTTAACATGTTCTAAATGTATGTGCTCTCAAGCTATGTTTCAGATTTCGTAATTTTCTAATACCATTTGGTACCTATTTTGATTTTCTTTAGTGTATTTTAAATATGTGCATATTTTATAATGATTTTCATTTTCAGCTAAAGGATTACATTTCTATTATTTGTATCATTTTACAATTCAATACACCTTTGTTTGTCATGAAATTCTTGGTATGATATTCATATCAGAAACTAATAGGATTTGATGTTAATTTATGCGAATCCTAATTTTAGAGTCCAACAACAATTTAATACTTAATTATTTTAATATTTTATTGATATTTTATTAGCATGACAATCAAGTTGGGATTGTAATTGAATCCCATGTTAAATTGACATGATTCTTGATTTCAAGGTTCAAAAACAATTTGATACGATTCTATAAACAATAATAAATAATTTAACATGCCTAAAATGACCCCG